TGTAAATATAATACTACAGATTTGCATCGAAGCTTTTTTATGATGGTGATTTTAATCAGTTAGATATCATCAATACTGGACTCAAGTATACCACGCCCCACGGAGCTGGGTTTTTTTTTTAATAGCATTTCTTGAAATAGTAGTAATGGGTTTACTTTAATTATTTCATTATTAATTTTCACAATAGAAGTTAAGATAGAGTTATAACTTCATTTGAATTTTTAATAAAACTTTATTCGTTTATTAGATATAAACATTTAAAGTTTCAAATTTTTGAGTTAATATACATATATAATACACAAGGTATTACAAATACAGGTTTATTATGACAACGCTATCACAGTTACGAATTGTTTATTATCAATTATGCCTATCAATAGATATACTTTTTATATATTCAGTTAGTGTATTTATGAACTCACAACAAAGTGCCTACTACCATTGATAATAACAATGTTGTGTACCTGCGAATATTGATGTCATAAAAAACCAATTAGCTACCTGTATTTGTAATACTTTGTGTATAATAATGTATATTAACTTAAAAATTTGAAATTTGAAATTTTTATATCCAATAAATTAATAAAGTATATTAAGGATTCAAATGCCATTTACTATTAAATTAAAAACTCAAACATTTTATTAAATTAAAAATATGTTTCCATCTAAAAAAAACAAAGTTGACCCCATTGCAAGGCATAAAGGATGAACTTAAAAAGTATTACATAGTTAATAATTCAAGAATAATGTGTAACTAAAGATAACCAAAAAAAAAAAATGTTTATATATATATATATATATATATGTATTCTATAAGTAATTTAGTGGGTTATGATAAAAAAATCACTCTGTATAAATATATATATATATAACACTCTTGGTTAACAACGATATATACATTTTTTGCGTAACGATACATTAAATAAATAGTACAACCTGCTGGACACCTAAAGATAATATAATCCAATAAGGAGCTGACGGCAACACAAACACATACACTATTTACGAGGTAGGTAAGTTAAGTTAAATATAAGACAAGAGTAATGGTCGCGATGATGGTAAAAAGTCAACTGTCGTTAGGGATATTTATCATGTCACATTGGCCGTCAATTGTAAAAGTGTTTATGTGTGTAGTCTGCCCTCCTGTAGTAATACGTTGGTCACTGTGTCAACAATATAAGCTTAGTCGGCGTTATAATAATAATATGAGATATGATCACATAATGTGATCCTATCAATACACAAGTAAATTAATAATTTAAAAACCCAGCACAGGGGGTCGCGGCACAGTGGTGACGTGAAATATTTGGATCAAGTATAATGATATCTGACAGTGATTAAAATCACTATCATAAAAAACGCTTCGATGAAAGTCTTTAGATAGTGTTTAATTTTAAAAAATTGGTGGATTTTTCCAAAAGCTACATGATCTGCTAGTTCCTTATTATTATCCTGATTAAGATAAAGTATGTCGAATGAAAAAGGGATTATTAAAAAATATTATTTCTCATAAAAAAATTCTGTTTATCCATACACTTTTCAATAAGTTATATCATTATAAAGTTAAAAATGTAAAAAATAAAATCGAGAATTTTCACACAATAATAGCATTTGGTAGCTATTTTCACCATGAAGACAAAATAAAGTACGAAATTTTTTTTTTCAATGATAAAGTATATTATATTAGCTTTAATTTAAGATATATATAAAAGTGTCATACTTTCCGGTACATTTTCAAAATTAAAATTGAAAAAATTAATTTTTTGTGAAAAATTGGTCATTTTAAATCCCACACTGTGGGCAGGTAAAGGGTCATATGTAAAAAAAAAATATACCAAATAATAAGTAATGATATCATACATCTATTTAAAAAAAATATATATTGATTCGGTTATTTTTAAAAAAGTTATAGCAATTTTAAATAAAAAAAATTTAAAAAATTTCGAAAATTAGCGATTTTTAAATTTGTAATTTTTTTGGAGGTTTCCCCCATTTACGGGGAACGAGGGAAAATTTTTCAATTTTTGAGGGTAATGTCTTCGATTAGATATAATTTGTGATCTTTTNCAATTTGTCTTCGATTAGATATAATTTGTGATCTTTTGACGTATCATTGAAAGAAATTGGTTCAGTGAGAGCTGAGAAAAAGTGGTAACAGACACAAAAAAAAAAAAAAACTCCGTACTCGCCAGACCTTGCTCTTTGTGACTTCTTCTTATTCCCAAAAATTAAAAGTTTTTTAAAAGGAACCCATTTTCAAACGGTTGATGACGTAAAAACGAAAACGGCAGAACTTCTAAAAGGGCTAACTGAAAGCGATTGGCAATATTGTTTTCAAGAATGGCAGCGACGTATGCGACAGTGTGTTGATGCTGAGGGAAGGTACTTTGAAGGTGACAATCATTAAATTGTAAAATGTTTAAAATAAATAACTTTTATTAAAAAATTCTCGTTATTTTATTGTCACACCTCGTATATACGAATATTAGCGGCGGCGATAGGAATATATAATCTTCGCATAATATCGCAGCACTTTTGCTGGCGTCAAAAGGTTAGCAGCGTTGGTGGTGACGGTGCGCGAGTGCGGATCAGTTCGTGGACGTGTCACTTTGACAACGGGAAGAAGACTACGGTATAGCCGGGTTCCCACTACTCGTGTATTTGCCGAACATTCACTATTTGTCTTTATTTGTCAAGCAGTGGGAACGATGTACTTGTACGAATGTTCGGCGTTCGTTCAACGGCATTCGTTATTCATCATCTTCCCGATGGATGACGGTATTTGTGACACAAATCAAAGGGATTATAAATATTTGTCTAAATACGCGATGAGTGGGAACAGTCTACTTGGCTATGTTTTTTATTTTGACGAATATTCGATCAAACTCCATACTTAATTTATTTATATAAATTGTTTTAATTAATTGATTTAATTATTTGTTTTTATTAGTTAATTAAATAAATTTTCAATTTTATTATATTATTATACAGAGTGATTTTTTTACCGCTAGTCAATCAAGTACCTTTAAAATAATAAGTTTTTTAAAAATATATTTTTTTCTAATTTTGTTAGTTACAAATGTATTTTCTATATACTTGTTATAAAATAATTTTTCGGAAAATTCCTTTTATATTATACAGGGGTGTCAAATTTATTTGTTTAAACGGCAACATACATATTAAACTAGTTTATAATTAAGAAATTGAATGTCGATAATAACTTTTGGAACAATACTTTGGAAGTTATTAGAATTTTAAAATATAATACTGATGGTGAAGCGCAGATGCTGCTATTAGTCATTCTTCGGTCACACTTCTTCTGCCACTTAGATACAAAAATTAGAATATCTTATAGAATATAAGTTTGAAATTACCTTTAATTTAAATTATTTACATTCATTTTTTAAATTACAAATTCTAAAATCGTTTTGTATTTTATAAGTCGATTTACACAATATTTATGCTCTGCATTTATTTCAATTAATAATTTAATAATATACTGTGAATAAAAGTAACAATTTTTTATGATTTGATAATTTAACCATCATTATTTATAAGCTAAAAATAATATTTTGAGATCCACATTTTATTTAACTAAAATTTGACACGGTACCGTATATTTTGCGATAAGTTAAATACACGGTCACCTCGTCTTTTCCATCAGCCGCCTTATTACATCGCGAGCCCAGCCTGATTTGAGTACCCCTGCTATCTACCTAGAGTGCAAAGTCTATCTACTGGAGCGCAATCGACCACCGAGCGCCGGCGGTGAACGGATCTATCTTGTTTTTGACGACCTACGTGAATTTTCTGTATCCGCCGTCGTCACGTGTGGTACATTAAAAGTTACTGTTAAAATCTTAAGTTGTATTAACTCTTAATTTAAATCGTAATATATATATTGGTTAAGTTAAAATTTCTCGCGCTTTCTTTTTCTCTCGGCCAGTGACATTGTAGAAATATTTTAGACATTTTGTGCGTATTTTTGTTACCTATATTATAGTTAAGAAACAAACTTTTGTTGACACTCGAAATACCCGTGTCAAATTTAACTAAAAAAAATTTGAACTAAAATTAAACCTACACGACAATGTAAAAGTCGTAACAATGTTATTACTGGAAAGGCCAAATAATCAATGAAGATAAACGAGTATTCGCTATATTGTAAAAATAATCTAGTTGTAGTGCCAAATGATTTGATGGTGAATACTCTCCAATAATCTACGTGTCCACATAAGTTTTTTTAAGCATATTAACATTTTATTTTGAAGTTAAATTTTTTTTAAAAACTTGTTTTCATAATGGAATTGTCAAACGAACAAGTATTAGAATTTTTTAAATTATATGAGAGTCACCCACTAATTTGGAACGCCAAGCACCCTCAACATAAAAATCGCAATGCCGTGTCCGATGCATGGGGTGACATAAATAAATCTTTTAGTGTGGAAAATTGTTCGGTGCAAGACTTAAAAAAAAAAAAAGAATCATTAATGGTCAGTTTTCGCACCTTACACAGTAAGGTAAAAGGCCCAACTAAAACCGGCACATGGGACTGAAGACGTATACAAGCCTAATTGGTTTGCATATGAAAAAAATGGCCAGATTTTTAAGCGCAACTTATCAGCCAAGACAGATTCTTAGTTCACAGGTACTTAACCATTTCTGTAAGGTTAAATTAATTCTAAATTTACTTTTATATGAGGAGGGAAAAAAGCAAAGGTACAAATCTACTGATTAGTCAAGTTTTAAACAAAACAAAGCTCCAGTGTATCTTTTAAACTCATAAATAAACTTTTTATTTGTATGATAAATGTTCAACAAAAAAATTATAGTGATAGTTAAAAATTAGGAATTTATAATATTTAACAAAAAAACGTTTTAAAACGTTAAAATAACAATAATTTTATCTTAATACATAAGTTAAATAGCAAATATATAAATATGTATTTATTTATATATATAGGTACCTATATAAGGTTGGTCCATAATTTTTATTTTATTTTTATTATTTGGCCAAATTTTTATAGTTTTATCATTTAAGTGAAAAATACTACAGAAATTTTATTCAACGAACAAATTTTTCCTTAACTTTGTGAGCGGCATATTTAAATAAAAAACACATTTTCAAGTTTTTTCATTAGTGTTACAATTTATATTTAGAAAAAAATAAATAGCGACCTCCCTGTGCTGGGTTTTTTAAATCTAAGCCTTATAAAACAAGTTAAATGTGCTATTTAAATTTACATTTCTAATACTAATAAGTAAAATAATAATAAATATAAGATAAAAAATTAAATTCATTAAATTGATTAAAATTAATAGTTTTCCTGCCACGATACTTTGCCTGAAGTAATAAAATAATCTGAAAATTCTTTCCTAATGACCTTAGCTTGCTCTCCAGGTTTCCTCGGTACTCTCCGAAGCGGTAATAAAGAAGTCAAGTCTCCTTGGTCTTGACGCCATGTTCCTGGAATAAATCCTTGTTCATTGTCGTTGTCAAATGTACCTTGAGGAGTATAAATTTGCTTTGATGTTCTACTTTTTCTTAAAAAATTGTGCAACAAAGTACAAGTCGTTGTAATATTGGCAGCTCTTTCTGGTTCCAATAATAATGGTTTTCTTAAAACCCGAAATACTTCAGCAATAATACCAAATACTTTTTTAATAACGCGTCTAGCTCGCGAGAGATGATAATTAAAAATTCTTTCTATGCTCCTTTTACCGTATGTCCCTGGATAGGGTTTCATAATACGCGGATTAAGGACGAAAGCATCGTCCGCTACAAATACAAAAGAAATTGGTAAAGTCCTTGGTGATAATGGTTGGTCAGGAGGAAACATCAATTGATTATTACCTATTTTTTGAAAGAGAAGTATTTTTAAAAACTCCTCCATCGCTAATTCTTCCTTGGCATCCAACGTTTGTGTACAAAAAACAATAATTGGCATTAACTAAAACCATCAATACTATGCTGAATGTACCTTTATAATTAATAAATTCAGAAAAACTGTGTATAGGTGATTGAATAATGACGTGTTTACCGTCAATTGCACCCACACAATGAGGATACTGCCATTTGGTGTCATAGTCATTTGCTACCATGTACCATTCTTCAGGATTTTCAGGCAACTAAAAATATCAGTTAAAATAAATTTTACTGATAGAACATAGGTATAATTTTTCGTTTGATAATAACAATATTTAATATAATACTACAATGTATAATATTAACACATTAAAAAAATTATTGTTAATAAAATATATTTTTAATAATTTCTAATAAAAAATTATTATTAAAAATTAAACAACAAAAACTTATTTTTCATTTTGTAATTATAACTTAAATATCGAATTATTAGTTAGCTAACAATAGTTAAATGAGGTACCTGGTCAATTTAATATAATATAGATTAATAGATAATGCACAATTGTTTTTAAAAATTGATAAAATATTAAGTATTTCAAAAATTCAAAAAAAAAATTTTATTACTTATAATATTAATATTAATTTTAATGGCAAGCTTGAAACTTATTTTAGGATTCCGATATATCTGAGAGTATATTAGAAGATATTATTGATCCTCTGGTTGATAGTGTTGAATCAAGTGTAATTGGAGATACACAATCAACACTTAAAAGGCCAATTGAATCACAATCTAAAGGAGGGAAAAAGAAGAAAAGTGATGATATCGAAATAGCTAAAAGCCAAATTGATAAGGCGTATTCGATGATCCAAAAATTGTGTGATGAGCCAAATGAGGTGCGCGACGAATGTTCTCTTTACGCTAACCTTTTGGCGGTAAAATTAAGATTATTAGATGAACATACGAGAGGAATTGTTATGCATGATACTGACAATATTATTTTTAATGCAAAGTACAATCACCAAACTACTATTAGCAATAATCCTAGTAAATATCCTACTTCTAACATGTACCCGCAACCCTATAATATTTATGAACTAGCTCCACCTAATTCCTATTTTACTCGACCTCCTCTAAGATCATCTATATATTCCCCGTCCTCTCCGTCAAACTCGTACACGATAAATCAACCACCTATAATGTCTTTACCAAAATATTCACCAATACAAATTAATGAAACATCTCCTTCTACAATCGTAGAAAATCCCTTGTCAGCCGATACTTCTCATAGTGATATGGGCCCATATTTCAATGCGGGCGTTTAAAAAAATTAATAATATAATAATAATTATCAATTATATACTAAATTATGCATTAAATAAAAATCGTACAGTATTTATTTTAATTTAAAATTAAAAATTTATTTAAAACTAAAAGTTATAAAAATATATTTAAGTCAAAAGCCATAAAAATTACGAAAAAATCGCGGATACATATTTAGGGAACAATGTTAAACACATACATGTTTTTTTTAGCGTTAATAATGGTAACATTTTTAATTTTATATTAGTAATTTTTATGGTCTTTAAGTTAAAATTTTTTTTAGTTTTAAATTAATATTTTTTAATTTTAAATAATAGTAGCCACAAGTGATCAATTCTTATTATGTATTTATTTTAATATATTTTATTAAGTTGTTTAATGATGTATTTGTTAATAACTTAATAATTTTGTTTAAATTATATATTTTTTTGCAAATTCAATTGAAATAAATTTTCATAATACCTTTATTCCATATCTTAGTTCATCAATTAATGCAGAACACGTTTCATGTACACATCTTAATACAGTTTGGGTTGAAACTTTAAATAGATATGACAAGCTTTTAAAACTATCTCCAGTAGCCAAAAAACGTAGCGTCATAGCTAATCTTTCTTGTGTTGGTATACATCTTCTCAACACCGTGTCTTGTCTGGATATATAAGGTCCAACTTTACCTAACAAATATTCAAAATCCGTGGATGACATAAGGCAAAACTTTTCAAATTGTCCACTAGGCTCCATCCTGAGATCTGCTAACATATCAGAGCCATCATACCTGATAAAATATTTATTATAATTATATACAGTGGCACATCCGGGATTTTTTTTTTTTTTTTGCTCACCACTTTTATGTTAAACGATATTATGAAAATATTACCTCTCGTAATATTTTGATAATACTAATACTTAGTTTAGAACTGCAAAAAAAAAGTTTAAAATGTATGACATGAGAGAAGACAACATTATTTATTTGTTGTTATAAAAACATTTTATGAAAAATAATTATTTTACGAGGTATTGCTACAAATATAAGAAATGTTACACTTGAACCCGTTCTCCACTGTGTGCATGGAGAACCCCAAAATTATAAATCTGGCTATTTGTTGAAATTTAAATATTCAAGTATAAATATAAATTTATATGTAAATAGTAAAATAATTAAGATTTCATATTAATTTTATTTTGAATTATTTCTTACATATTATTACATCCTTCTCTCCGGCAACAGAATAACCACCCGTCCCGAAGTATCAATGGTTAAGAAACCTCCTCCTCTGGGGGAGACCACTGCGGTCATTAATGGGCTGATAAAGCGGTAAAAAAAAACATAAAAAATTGTATATTTTGAACATAAATAAACATATCTTGCTCGACTTTTATTGTATGATACCAACCACCATATCCTTTTTTTGGGTATTTTTTTTTCTTCTTGTTCTTTTTTAATTTCAAGTAATTCTTTATACGTTTTATTTTATAATAAAAATGCTTCGAGAGCTGCTATTTTTTTTCGTTTATCCATATATTTTTATAAATAAATTAATACACTATAATAATTAAAAAAAGTTTTAAAGTTTAAGTTAAAAAACACAACCACAATATACATTACAATATTCTCCACTGATTGTCAACACTTAACTCAACGTGGAAAATACAAAATAATTTTACAACTAGACGGGTAATCGGAACAGCAATATTTGTCTACTTGTGCTAGTAGACGAACATTCAGTGATCTTTGTATATTCGACGAGTATACGAGTAGTCGGAACAGTAATATTTGCGTACTTGTACGAATAGACGAGTATTCAGTATTCGTCCTATATTTGGCAAATAGACGAGTAATGGGAACCTAGCTTATCATGTGCGGCACTTGCTGGACTTTGCACCGCGTCGTATAACGCGCGGTGTTGGTCAGTCAAATACTCATAAAATAGGGCGACGGCTGATAAAGGTGGCACGAGTCGCATGGCATTGTGTATAACGAAGCGACGCGGGGCCGTGTCATGTAATAANAGAGTAATGGGAACCCAGCTTATCATGTGCGGCACTTGCTGGACTTTGCACCGCGGCGTATAACGCGCGGTGTTGGTCAGTCAAATACTCATAAAATAGGGCGACGGCTGATAAAGGTGGCACGAGTCGCGTGGCATTGTGTATAACGAAGCGACGCGGGGCCGTGTCATGTAATAAACCAAAAATAAAAAAGAAAGAAAAGAAAAAGAGTAGAAAAATAGAGATATAAAAATGAGAAAGCGTAGGTTAAATTTAAAAAGAAATTAGGGGTTGCTTATTAATTATAAAAAGAAATTGGCAGTACTTAATAAATTATTGTTATCATTATTTGTTATCATTNCAGTCAATATAAACATTTATTTATAAATATATATATAATTGATGAGATAGGGTGAATGCGTTACGACCGTCTAGTCTCAAGGCCGTAGACACGTGCGCGTGGAAAGTTACAAACAACACACAACATACATGTGAAACTAATATAAGCGTGTTAATTAACACCTTCTCAGATTCTTATCAAAACTAAAAGTGTCAATTAAAAAGTTGAAAAAAAATCTTTTTCATTGTTTAATTCAGATGAACCCAAAATTATGTTTTAAGAAATGATCTATACAGTAACATGACATAAAAAATGTTTTGATGACCGTTTTCACTATTAACACAAGTCTAGAAGTCAATTTTTTTTTTAAATAAAGTATATTACGTATGTTTTAATTTAATATTAGTATAATGGTGCCAACATTTCTGGACAATTTTCAAAAATTCAAGTTAACAATACTCTACTTATTGTACACGTATTTCCATTTTTAAATTTCCCTGTGTAAGGATAAATAGTCCTATTTTAAGTTATGTCGGATAAAAGGGACTTTAAAAAAATTATATAGATCCAAATTATATACAAAAATTATGGTAATATATATTTAAAAATATAAAATTGACATATTATCACAAAAATAGCAATTTTTTGAATATGATAGCCAATTTCATCTCCAATACAAGCCCAGAGGTAATTTTTTTTTTTTTAAGTAGAGTAAATTACATATGGTTTAATTTAAAATACATATGAATGCGTCAAAAAAACATCTGTATTAAACCAACCTTTTTTTAAAATGTCGTGGCGATTTTATGTGAAAATAAGTTATAAAAATATAAAAATTTACTGATTTCAAATGTTGTAACATTTTTTATAGATCTCCCCATTTATGGGAAACGAAGGAAATTTTCCAAATTTTCGAAGGTAATGTCTTCAACTAAACATCTATTGACTTTCGTTCATTATAATAGGTTTAGTGAGAACTAAACTTATAATGAATAAACTGTCACAAAAAAATAAATAAATACACGCATAGTATTATCAACGGACATATCAACGTTATTATAATTATAATATTTCATTTATTTATATCAAATGAATTTTTTCATTCATGTATAACATTAGATGATACATATAATATCTATAATAAAATTTATACATAGCATTGATATTTTGATTAGAGACAATATTTTTTGGCTTATTATCTCGTATTTAGTATTATTTTGTGAAATAAAAACTTCATTGCAACAAGCCAATTTGGGGAGTTTTAATAATAATAATAATATATTTTTTTAAGTTGATTACATAAATAATGTTCACTTAGCTTAAACAAATATACTGGTCGTATAAAACATTGAAATCCTTGGTGATAATCGAGTAAACAATTGATATAATTTAGTACAAATAATTATTCCTATAGTTCAATTTTGTAAAGAATAATTATTTCATTTTACTATATTATTTACTATATTTTTATGTATTGCTTTTTATAAAGTTCATTTTATTAAAAAATAAAAATCAGTCTAAGGAAATTTAATAAAAGAATAATTCTTGGCATTATTAAACGTATAATGGGTTTAAAAATTGTTCACAATACATTAAATAAAAGTAAAGCATTATTCGGGTTACTACAAGGAACTTGGACTCGTGTAAAAAACTTATCTTTGAAAAAATGTAAGTAACTAAAATTAAAACTAAACGTTTCTAGCTTAATTCTTTATCGAACTTCAGCAACTGATAAAAAGAACAGTGTCCATACATATAGCACAAATCAATTACGGCAAACATATAAAAAGTGTTTTTGCTGTGTCTGCATCAAACCTGATCCAAAACAATCAGACCACGAAAAATGCTCTAAAATTCTTAGTAATAATAAACCCGGAATTAAGAAAACAATAAATGATGAGATAGTCAATATAATGATACCATCGAATCTTGATGAGCTTAAAGCACGTATATTATAGTTTTTAAATATTTTTATAAAGTTGAATAATCAATTCAATAGCTGTATTTTAATAATAACATAATTGCATTTCCCTAAAGAGAGTTTATAACGCAATCACCATTATAAGACTTTAACATCAATAATTTTTAAACTTATAAATCCTCATTTTGAATTTTTTCTTATAAAATTAATTATAATTATGAAATTAGATATATTCTTGGTCTATGGTATTCAACACTTTAAAATCTACCCAAAGTGTTGATAAAGTTGTGAAAACTCCTCCGCTAAAGAACCAAGAACCAAAGAAACCACTGTTTAGTCTACCACCAAAAACTGAAGCTAAAAATGTTTCGCCAGGTAATAACAGTTTAACTTTTAAAATATGTATTTGGTAAAGAAAAATGTTCAATTATAGCCAATACTTTATAAATTATTTTTCAGTGTGCCGTGGTATTAAAAACCAAGGGGCAACTTGTTATTTAAATTCTTTCATCCAAGTCATGTTCCATACGCCGGAGTTTCGTAACGAGTTGTTGGAACTGACATTCCCTAATGATTCCGGTGACGACAATTGGTTTAACGTAGCTTATCAACTTCAAAGGCTTTTTGTAGAACTACTTAGACCTGACACATCGTCAGTGAAGACTAAAGACTTAACAAAAAGTCTTGATTGGACTCAGGAGGACACAGATATCCAGCAAGACGTCCAAGAGTTTGGTCGATTTTTTTTGGGCATCTTGGACGAGAAGTTGCAACTTACATCGTCCGCTAACATTATTAGTAATCTATTTAGTGGCAAGTATAATGTATTTACTATAAAAATGAACATGACTGTTTTTTTAGACTTGATTAGTATTTTATTAGATCATCGTGTTTACTATTCATTATCATGTTTCAGGCATTCAGGTCGAATACCTTAATTGCACAATGTGCAATATAAGTAAAGAGCAGTACTCCACATTTTTTGATATTTCTCTGCCTATTCGCTCTATTGATGGAAAGACATCATATGACTCGCTGGTAAATATATACAGGGTGCTTTTTTTTTTATCATAACCCGCTCAATTACNCAGGGTGCTTTTTTTTTTATCATAACCCGCTCAATTACTTGCAGAATAATAATAATTTTAACATTTTTTTTTTTCATTATCTTTAGTTACACATTATTCTTGAATTTTTAACTATGTAATACTTTTTAAGTTCATCCCTTATGCCTTGGAAGGGGGTCAACTTTGTTTTTTTAAATGGTAACACATATTTTTAATTTAATAAAATGTTTGAGTTTTTAATTTAATAGTAAATGGCATTTGAATTTTTAATATAACTTAATTCGTTTATTAGATATAATCATTTAAAGTTTCAAATTTTTGAATTAATATACAGGTATAATACACAAGGGATTACAAATATAGGTAGCTAATTGGTTTTTTATAACATCGATATTAGCAGGTACACAGCATTGTTATTATCAATTGTAGTAAGGCACATTGTTATGAGTTTATAAATACACTAACTGACAATACAGAAAGTATATCTATTGATAATCATAATTGATAATAAACAATCCGTGACTGAGACAGCAATGTCATAAAAATCCAATTAGCTACCAGTGTTTACAATCCCATGTGTATTATACATGTATATTAACTCAACATTTTGAAACTTTAAATGTTTATATCTAATAAGTTAATAAAGTTATATTAAAAATTCAAATGCCATTTACTATTAAATTAANATAAAAATTCAAATACCATTTACTATTAAAGTAAAAACTCAAACATTTTGTTATATTAAAAATATGTGTTACCTTTTAAAAAAACAAAGTTGACCCCCTCCAAGGCATATGGGATGAACTTAAGAAGTATAACATAGTTAAAAATTCAAGAATAATGTGTAACTAAAGATAATAAAAAAAAAAAATGTTTAAATTATTATTATTCTGCAAGTAATTGAGTGGGTTATGATAAAAAAATCACCCTGTATATTTAAANTTGAGTGGGTTATGATAAAAAAATCACCTCGTATAAACCGTAAATGTATATGTTTAATGTAGAAAAAGCAAAATTAAAATTAAATTAATAAAATTGTTTTTTATATTAATATATTTGACTAATAGGAATATGCAATAGAACAATATTTAAGACCTGAAATATTAGATGAACATTTTTGTGACATTTGTGGAAAAAAATGCAAATTCCTTAAAGGGCAAAAATTTAAAGAGCTCCCATATATTTTATGTTTTCATCTAGGTAGGACTACCTATAACATAAACAGTCTAAAACCTGAAAAAATAAATGACAAGTACGTAATGTTTATATAAACGTAAAAAAACATTGTTATGAATTTTTGTATGAAATTTTTTTGTCAGAGTATCTTTTCCATTTATCATTTCAATGGATGTGGATGGCTATAATTCCATATTTGAATTATACGGAGTGATCATTCATAAAGGTGAAGCCACTTTTGGGCACTATTACTCATACATAAAAGATTTCAAGTCGGGACAATGGTTTGAATGTAATGATGATATTATTACTACCGTATGTATTTAGATTTTTGGAAAATACCACAATTATGAGACTATAACTATTACACAGATACCACCACATAAAATTGAAAGTGCTTTTAGCGGAAAATCAAGCGCATATATGATAATGTATCGACTTTTTGATCGAAACAGAAATCGAGAAGCTTACACAATTGAGGAACTCCCAGCGCATTTAAAGTAACAATATTTTTACTTATGCATCCATTTAATCATATCCGAGTAGTTTGTCATAAAAAAACAGAGTTCAACAATTACACAGTAAAATGAATAAGAAAAGCCTTATTCTATAGAGTAATACCTTTTTCAAATAAATTAATAACTTCAGCCACAAAATCCTCCAGGAAATTAATAATTATGTTGGCTTTTCATAGTCATGGTATACACCAAACATATTGAAAAAACTACTTAATCAAATGGCTTATAATTATTATTGGAGGTAATACCTATTTTTAATTAAAGTAAAAAAAGACGAGTTATTAATTGATTTGCATGATAATGAATACAATCCATCAGTTTTTTTGAGGAGTACGTCTCATATATTTAATGGAGTATATAACATTTATATTTGAACAAAAATATCCTAATCTTGCGTATAGTTTGAATAAACTTAATGAATAGATAGAGCCTAAACAATTTGAGAAATTTAAACAACCATAGCCTACATTAATAATTTCAGGAAATCATTAAACCTTTTTAAAAAAATATTGAAATGATAATTGTAATATTACAATGTATTTATAATATTAAATTTTATTAGATGATACTAAGAAAACAAAAAAAACTTTAGATGCTCTATTGATGAATAAATTGAATGCTGATGGTCCTGAATAAGTCGCATATTATAATGTAATTTGTGTTCCTTATTAGTTTTTTGTTGAATTACCTTGAGAAGAGCTAATGCTTGAGTGGTATAAATTGGGCATACGATCCGTAATTTTTACTTGCATTTATATTCTAAATTAAAACTAAGAATAGAAGTTAAATACACATTTATAAAATTATAATTAAAATTCAATACAATCTACTATGTCATTTTATAAAAACTTTTATATTATACTTTTGTATGTTAATAAAATATTTATATTTAACTAATTATTTGTAGTTTATGTTATAATCAGGTTATATTTATCAAAGAATTAAATATCGATTAATAACTACAATATATAATATATTATGTAGTATAATATATTAATACTACAATATATAATATATTATGTAGTATAATATATTAATACTACAATATAGTACGCTAAAAAATAAAGATGTATTGCAACACAGTTAATGTCATTACAATTAATAAATAAAATTTAAAACCAATTAGTTTCAAAATTTCTCGATTTTAGAGTAATTAATTTATACTCTGCTAATGTTTTTTATACTAATTTAAATAGAAAGAATCCCTAAGAAAAATAAAGATATGACTAGAATTAAAATCTGCTTTTTTGTTGTACTCTGCTATGTATTTTGCTACGTTATTTCTTGTGTCATTATACACGATTATTCCACTTCTAATCGACAGATTTTGCTCAAAAATAAATCAAAAGATCACAAAATGCATCTTGTTGAAGTAATCAGCAGCATCTGCATATTTTAAAGATATTTAAGCAATGCCTACAAGCATGGGCCTCATTGTAATTAACCCATTTGAATACAAAGAATCAGCTTCAAAGATTACGCTAGGGATCTTTAGACTACGTCCTTCTGACTATAAAAAGCCATTTTTATCCGTCAAAATCAGTATTCTTTATATATTATTGTATGGTATATATATTTATATATATTTTTACTTATGCATCCATTTAATCATATCCGAGTAGCTTGTCATAAAAAAAAAAAGTACAACAATTTCACAATATAATGAATATTAAAAACTTTATTCTATAGAATAATACCTTTTTCAAATATAACATTTATATTTGAACATAAATATCCTAATCTTGCGTATAATTTGAATAAACTTAATGAATTGATAGAGCCTAAACAATTTGAGAAATTTAAACAACCATAAGCTACATTAATAACCTCAGGAAATTATTAAAACTTTTAAAAAAAATATGGAAATGTTAATTGTATTAATACAATTTATGTATAACATTAAATTTTATTAGATGATACTAAAAAAAAAAAAAACTTAAGATGTTCTATTGGTGAATAAATTGAATGTTGATGGTACTGAATAAGTCGCATATCATAATGTAATTTGTGTTCCTTATTAGTTATTTGTTGAATTTCTTTGAGAAGAGCATGGCTTCAGTGGTATAAATTGGACATACGATCCGTAATTTTTACATTCATTTATATTTATTTATATTTTAAAATAAAACGAAGAATAAAAATTAAATAAACATTTATAAAATAATAATTAAAACAATTTACTATGTCATTTTTTAATAACTGTTATAATTTATACTTTTGTATGTAAATAAAATATTTATATTTAACTAATTATTTGTAGTTTATGTTTTACTCAGGTTAATTTTATCAAAGAATCAAATGTTGATTAACAAACTACTACAATGTAGTATGCTAAAAAATTACAATGTCAATTAATGTCATTACAATTAATAAATAAAATTTAAAACCGATTGGTTTTAAAATTTCTCGATTTTGGAGTAATTAAGTTATACTTTGCTAACATTTTTTACACTAATTTAAATAAAAATAACCCCTAAAAAAATTAAACACATGTTTAGAATTTATATTTGCTGCCTTATCTTTTCGTCAACTGAAAAATAAATATCCAATTTATACAATATTCTTAAAATGCATATTAATTCTATTAATTACAAAAATAATTATGTTTACACATGTAGACTGAAAGAGTAATTACTCTTTCAACTATCACGAAAAAAAAGAGGTAGTTTTTAAATTAATTACACTGTATAAACACGTCTATTTTAACTTCGATTCTTAGTTGAGAAACTATTGGTTTTACTTTGCTATGTTTTATATTTCTTGTGTCACTACACACGATTGGTTCCACTTGTACTCGACAGACTTTGCTTTGAAATAAATCAAAAGAACTCAAAACGTTTCTTGTTGATGCTATCAGCAGTATAATTTAAAAATAATCCCCATAATAAATGTAAATTTCTCAAAAAATTACAATTGCTATAATCAGTCGAAAAATGAAAAAAAACTATCCACAATCCCGATTTCTAGACGTTGAATCCAAAAAATGTCGGTAAAAATTTAGTGGTATTTCGCATAGCAATAGATCATCAATACATTTAAAACTAATTCAAATTATTCTTCCTTAAATGTATTAAGGATTCCAGAATCAAAACGATTGAGTTACTAAAATTTCAAAAAAAGTTGTTAAGAAATGTTGTTTTCATTATTATTTTCAGAAAACATATTTTATTAGGAAATTTTATTCCCTTATTTAAAGTATGATATATTTTCAGCTCCCTCAGCGTTACAAAAGTGTACAAATCAAACCATTATAATCATTTTGTATAACATCCCTCAATGAAATATTAAAATCGTATGCGGATCTTGTATACAACTACTGGATTCTTGTACCTGGATTAGTTAATTTTATATTAATACCTAAGCTATTTCAGAGTAAAAAGCTGTTCATTCTTTGATTGCACGGCCGACGACGTCCCGTCGCTAATGATACCGTAGTATTCTTCCTGTTGTCAAAGTGACAGCGTCAATAAACCGATCTGCACTCGTGCACTGTCGTCATCGACGCTGCTAACCTTTTGACGCCAAGGATCACGCCGGACATCGCGTCGTCGACGCCAGCGAAAGTGCGTGGATGCTTAATGCCATATTTTTTGTATATTGAGCGCTTGACGCTTTTTTTCACAATAATACTAGTATTTTTCGTTCATTATTGTTTTAAGTTAATTTTAAAAATTATTTTTAACTTTTTAGTTTGATGTGCTTTAAAAGCGTGTTTTTTAGTTTTTTTAAACTATATTTATATCATCCTAAGTGGTGAACATTATTTTAAATGATTTATTAATATTTAACCCAGGAATAAGTTTTATTTATATTTATTATTACCTAATATCCTCACAAGAAATAAATACAGTTTCTATTTTATATGAAGGTTTTAAATATTATTGTGCCCTTCATTTCTGGACAGCCTCAAATGTGCCGTAAAGAAGAGTAATTTCATTTATACAAGGCCTTATACGTTACCTTATATTCATAATAAAGCTAATTGTGCCCTTAATTTATGAACAGCCTTAAACGTGCCGAACAAAGTGAGGAAGCGTAATTTTTTTATTAGAATTAACTAGTCTTAGTAGTAAAATCCTCTGCGTGTTTACTCGCTAGCCATGAAGGACTATGCCAATTATTGTTAGATAACGTGAAGCAGTTGACGTAAAGGATAGTAAAAGGTGTATTGAAGACATATTTAATATATATATTAACGATGTTAACTGTGTCCGCACCAGCCAAGGCTTTACGCTGAGAAATGTTGGGCCTCCACAGTCTTGTTGATTATATTTTGAATAAAGATAGACATATTCTTATAATTATATTTTGACAAGTTCAGAGTAAATTTTAAGAATATCGATATCGATTATAGGGAATTCATCGAAAATATTATTAGTAAAAATATAGTATAATATAAACAGAGTTTAAAAAAATATATAAAAAAAGGTAACAAATCATAATAACGCAGTTCCCATTGTAGAAAATCTTTTCTAAATTTGATATACATACAAATTAGTCTCTGCGAGTATAATAAACGCAAAACAATATAAACGATTGTTAACACTGAAGGAAGAAATCACCATAAAATTAACTTAATCAACTACGAAAGGAAATAAAGGTAAGTGTGAATATTTAATTGCAAACTTCTTAGAAATTTACGTAATAAACAAGAATAAGAATAAGTGAGGTAGGGAAATTTTATTATTTGATAAATAACTATAGTTGGACTCCGAGATAACACTTCATACCATACCCCTTTACCTCGCCCCTTTTAATTTTTTTGTTTATTACACACAATATCTAGGATTGAATTCTGTATGTAAATTATTCGAAGCCCTATATTATTATTATAAACATAAGTTCAATAATGTACTCTTATTTAATTTTTGTTGAATAAGTATCCTTTTCAAAGATATTATATTATATTGAGATATAAACATCAATATATTTTAAAGCTTTTTATGAAACAAGATTCAAAAATATTTATATCTGTGTAAAAATATTACTAACTCATGGTGTGTTGGTGATGACGCCTTAAAAGAATGTACCACAATAATCATCAACACAACAATTAATAATTACTAATATAAAAACGGTAGCACAGTGAGATCACGGCTTAGTACGGACGTGGCATAATTGGGATAATTATAGATGATATCTGACAGTGATTAAAATCACTATCATAAGAAAAGCTTCGATTAAAATCTGTAAGTAAAGTTTAATTTAAAAAATTGGTAGATTATTTCAAGAGCAACAATAACTCTTATTCCTCTAATTTTATGCGATTAGTTATTTAATTTATAATTATAATATATGAATACATAATAATTAAAGTAAATAAATTTAGTATGAAATTGATATTCAATAATTTAATATTGTAATTTTTACGAAGATATAAAAATAATAAAGTAGTTGTCTATTCATATACTTTTAATGCGTATAAAAATTTAAAGGGATTGATGAAATACTTTTTAACAAAAAAAATTTTGTTACTTATGAATAAATACACTAAATAAAAGGAACTTTCATTANTAATACACTAAACAAAAGGAACTTTCATCAGAAAAAAAATATACTTTTCTAAATCAACTTTTCGCGATGTTTTCAAATGTGCAATTAAACTTTTTTTATTACTTCTAAGTTTTAATATTATTACTTATTATTAAAAAATAAGTATTTACATATAAAAAAAAATAATTAAGAACAANATTAC